TTTTTTTTTCTTTTAGGAAATTAGCTCTTTGTGCATATCAGTATTTGTATCTAACACACAGAATTTGCTAAGACAGAACTGTTGCTTTGAAAAGCTAATGGGTACTGCCAGTTACTGTATTTGTAAAGAACCAAACTATTTGTGCAGGACCCTTTTAGATAAACTGTTCTCACTAAGGAAATGAATATATTCTGTTATCAAGGTGGGGTTAGGGTTAGGAGGAGGACTGAATGCTACATCAGGGATGGGTGGGGTGGGGGGCTCGTTTCTCTGTTGTCTCCGCCCTGCTGACAGAGTTGCAACACTTCAAATGACAGTCAGAAGAAATGGCTGATGAACTGAAAACCACTTACTTGCATTGGGTATTAAAAAAGTTTAAGTTAAGGTGTAAATATATACAGTATATATATTAAAATGAATTTTAAGTAAAAAGAAACGACCAAAGCATTCATTTATATGGATGTGTGAAACATTCTTTTATTGTTTTTGTACAAAAAAAATTTATTTCTATTCATCATGTTGAAGTAAGTAATTTAAAGACTTTTTTTCTGCTACTTATGAACTAATGTGAGGTCAATTTAGGGATGGGAAACCATAACTGACACACTATAACGCTCTATACGTGTTCAGAATCTGTGTTCTTCGCTGCCTGGAGTTTCATCTTTGTCTGGAGGAATTGTCTCTTTTCTGCTTCTTTGTGCTCTCCAAATACTGAACAGACCCCGAAGTAAAAAAACAACAGAGATAACCAAGAAGTAGCTGGAATACACGGTGAACTGCAAAGAAGAGTACATGTTTAAAAGGTTAATGACGCTAATGGACAAATAAACAGTGCTGCTGTACATATTTTGTGATCTGGTGGCTTACCTGGGGAATGATGGCCAGGCCTAGCCCTCTACTGTCAACTACAACAGACGTGATAATCGTCTGTAGAGCCAGTGCTCCAAAGGTATTTGCCCCAAAGACTAGTGCATATCTTTCCATTGAGAGATCAGCTGCAATCTGATACCTGCAAGCATAGAATTTGTCTTAATCTAAAGGTTGGGGAGGGTTTTTTTTTTATTTTTATTTTTAGCTTTTTTGCTCTTATATCTGCAATAAAAATCAAACTAAACTGTGGTAAAGTATAACCCTGATGTGACTTGACACTCTTACATTGCTATAGTTATCAGCGTCATGTACAGTGACTTGAAAACGACGTAACCGCTGTAGCAGACCCAAATGTTGCCAGTGAAAGTCATGAGGAACAGTGAAGCTGCACTTAGTCCAGAGAAACCACCCAGGGCCAGCTCTCCCCACTGCTCCCATCTTACCTCAGTAAAGCCTATCCCGTAGGCAGTGGCTGCACCTGGAAAGCATGTACACGTGGGATAAGACAAATTAGGACATGTCATGATTCGTTGTGTGGCAGGCAGGAGAAGGACCCAAGATGCAGATTCACAGACTCAAAAAACACAGCTTTATTGCTGGCCACGAGAAACAATACAAAATAAACTAAACTGGGAAAACTAAAGCATGAGATGTACAAGGAACCGAACCACGGGGAGGATAACACACAACATGAGGGAGAACGCGACGCCGAACAGAGGGAGACGCAGACAGAAATACACAGAGGGTTAACGAGGAAAGTGGGAACACACGGGGAACACAGGTGACACTGATAATCATAACGAGACAGGGCGGGGTGAACTGAACATGACATGTACAGGCGTGAGAGTCACAAAGTAAACAGGAAGTGCACAGAGGTTCAGACAGGAGGAGAGAGAGCACGGGGAAAACACAGACATAACGGGCTGGGGAAACATGAAACAACCACAAAGGGAGACGAGGGCTCATAAATACACAGAGGGGCACACAGGGGGTAAAAGCCATGAAGGGAAAACACTTAGGGAACAACACAACAGGGCAACTCAGAAAACATGGCCTAAATAAGGAACAAAATACAAACATACAAGAAAACTAAGAACACTGGGCCAACATGGCCCAGGACCATGACAGTGAGTACAGTATAATATATAATTTACTGAGTCTTCCCATTATTTAATACATGAAGGTCAATGCGGTCATTGTATCTTATCTGACTCATTGTTCTCCTCTTAAGAGGTTTGAGACTGCCTCCACGCCTCCGTTGTAAATGCTGAAGTTCTGAGAAGGCTGCACATGCTCCCACAGCACCTGTGCAGTATGGTGTGGGTATCATTAGGTTGTTCAAGGATGTGTGTGTGTGTTTAATTATTTCTGTTTAAAATATATATCTAAAATGCCTTTTATTAACACAAGAGAAGGCTTCAGCAACTACAAGGCACTACTTGTTCACTGCAGGTAAACCCATCGTAAAGCAGCCCCCAGTAGCAATTTGGATTGCTGCAGTGATTCAGATGCTTTTACAGCTCACATTTTTGTTTATGCTGCCTTCATAACCAGTGTTGGGACTAACGCGTTATTAAGTAACGCGTTACAGTAACTACGTTATTATTGTGGTAACGAGCACGGTAACTAATTGTCAAAGAATAATGTTTAAATGTTTTTATGCTTTGCTTCAATACTGATAATGTTCATATTTTCACTGTGCAGCTCAGCTTGATAAACGTGAAACTTCAAGCCGCATGTGCCATGTGATAAGGCCACAAGATCAGCACAAAAATACACATCTTCAGAAGCTGATAGGAGCTTCACCGCACCCACACGTCCGCAGAAGTTGACTCGCATTATCTTTATTATTCTTAGAAACTGACTTGCTGAACACACATATACACACGAACATGAAAAACAGGAACTGCTATCTATGCTTTAAATAAAGGAAACGCCTGCAGCTGAGTGTGAGTCTCTCTGTTGAGCGCTCACCCGTGCACGTTAAAAATCTCTCCAAGTGTCTAAGTGTTGTTTCTTCACCTGAGTGTTTGATAATTGTTGATATCCTTGACATTTAATTGGTCCTTCGAGCCGGATTGGACTGGTATTAATAGTAATATCACGCTCCATTTCACAGCGGCATCTTTCATCAAGTCCCGACGTCGTGAGAAAGCTGCGCTGAAGTCTGTGCACAGCTCCTTTCCCGGAAAGGATAAAGTCCAGGGACGTGAATTCGGGTCCTGGCCAGCGTCTTATACAGGTTCACGATGGTGGGGGTTGATGGAAGACACCCGACCGGCAACCACAGACTGAGGTGAATATTCTACACTTGATACACCTTGCGGACAAAACGACTGAGGCAACCTGTGGTCTGTATACAAAAGTATAATAGGTAGTAACATTCTCGGCTGAAAAAGGCCTGGCAGAGGTTACGTAGGAATACCTATTTCTAACATTCTCGTCTGAAAGAGGACTGGTAGAGATTATTGGCTCGCCTGAAAAAGGGCTGGAAGCAAATACATGTAGGACGACGCAGAGTTGCCCAGAATAAAAATCTTTTGCGCATATGAACTGTCATTTTACTGTTTTGTTGGTGGAGTAAGTTAATTTAACAGCACATTAAGGTGGCTGAACTACTCCACTGAATTGTTTACCGTTGATTGCTCACGTATTGGCTGGGTGAGGAATCGGTTGTGCTTCATCACATAAAAACGACAACCGCTTTCAAATGCTTGAAAAATAAGGCTTGTTAACACTTTTTTTTCATGAGGACAGGGCTCCACGGGGGGTTCTTAAGCAGGAATTATTATCCTATTTTAAACTTAAAAGAATATATTGTAACAATTAAAACTAATTCACTGTGAACGGACGCATCGGCTAGCAAAAATGTCCGGCCTCAATTGGTGCAAATTGATTAGAGAATCCAAAATTTAACGCTCCGCGGGAATGTAAATTAATTTCTGCAGTGACCCTAAAAACCTTACAAACAGAGCATACATAGTTGATGACCGCCAGGGTTATAAAATATTAAAAGGAATAATTCATGAAACTTAAATTAAATTGGAATTATATAAGGTTAACTTAAGGTTAAAGTTAATTCTCCGTTGGAAAGGGAGCAGATACTCAACCTGAGTACAATATAATATAAATAATTAATTTAACTGCTTTGTCGACAATGCACAGAAGAGAATGAGATGTACGAGGCTTGGAGTTGATATGAGCAAATCAGAGAGTCTAAAAAGTCAGCACATTGTAAGGAAAAGATTTTAGTACGATTGGATGAATTCTAATATGTGCTGGTATAATATATTTTTTCAATTCTTTTCATTTGAAATATATCCTTTTATATCTGATCCGCCATGTGCTCAACTCTATATTGTGAATAAGATTCTATTAGTTAGATGAATTCTATATCTTCTAATTTAAGATCTATATATCATTTAACTGCTAAGATTTATAATTTGTGAGCATTTTTTTATTAAAATTTTTAGATCGAAATTGTAAGGTGTTTATATTTTTTTATTAAAAAAAATGAAATTGCGAGTATAGAATCGTGCGCCCCAAGGTGACGAAGTGCTGGGGAAGCGTAAAAGAACGTCTATAGAGTTGTTTATTGAGGTAGTTTCGACTCCGTACAATAAAAAAACCAAGCTATTACTGTTACCTACAGTCTTTCTTCTATTCTCCTCCCTTCTTTACTCATCTGTCATACGCACTATTTCTTCTTGTATTATATCGTCCGCTATTGCCCAAGAAAGAGAACAGCGAGGTTGCATGTAAAACAGCGGCTTTAACTTGTCCGTTTTAATTTTTATAATTTAATTCGTTATGTGGAGCACAGCTAAACTTGCTGAATATGTTTATATAGTTGAGAGGGAAATGGAAAACAGGGAGTCATATGGATATCAATAAAACATTATGAAACATTTATTTTATCACTTGGTGGGATACTTCTGACAAACAGTCTTTTACGATGTACTGAGTTCTGAGTGAGTCAAGGCCATTAAAAGGGAAAGGGAGCAAGGAACTTATTTCTATTTAAGTTCACTTTAAAATATTTCTGTTTGCAAAACAATGATGTTATAATATAACCCTCGAACCCTGATCCTGTCACAACCATGGTTATTTTCCATTTTTCAACTTTATTTCCAATATGGTGCACTCTGTTCAAAATCGGAGATTTTTCCGCCACCTGTTGCATATCTCGTCTGCTTTCAAATCTTTTAGAGCGTGCTGATTCGTCAATCGAAAGCACCGTAGCAGTTTTGCTTTGTGGTAAAAGCGTAATGATCAGGTTGGATTTCTTGTGAAATGTTATATCTTCTCTCATATTGTGTGGTGCCCCCCGCAATTGTGGCAAAAGCAGCTAGTAGATGGCACTCTTGTTGTATCATACACAGGACCATAACAAAGAATTTATCTGAGTTAAACAAAGACTTTCTCACTCATATTACTCTGATAGTAACTGAAACGATCTTATATAAGAGTACTGTATGTAACTATTTACTATAGAACTCGTTCGCTCTGAGACCTATTGTTTTCTGATATTTAAAGTAGATGACGACTTCGTTTTCATCTTCTGTTGAACCCTTCCATTTGGTATAGGGGATACAGTACATTATCTTATTTATTAGCTTAAAAACTTCCTTTTGCTAAATATTAGTCAGAGGACCGGACCTGATCTTCCCTTATTATGCTACAATAGATTAGCTGCCAGGGATTCCATGAGATTGATTTCCTCTCACCTTTATACTAGCTTTAATAGACCTCTCTGCATTGAATCATATCTGTTATTAACCTCTGTCTCTCTTCCACAGCATGTCTTTTATCCTGTCTTCCTTCTCTCACCCCAACCGGTCGCAGCAGATGGCCCCGCCCCTCCCTGAGCCTGGTTCTGTCTGGAGGTTTCTTCCTGTTAAAAGGGAGTTTTTCCTTCCCACTGTCGCCAAAGTGCTTGCTCATAGGGGGTCATATGATTGTTGGGTTTTTCTCTGTATCTATGAAGCGCCTTGAGGCGACTTTTGTTGTGATTTGGCGCTATATAAATAAGTTGAATTGAATTGAATTGAAACAAAACTACCCAACACTGTTCATAACTGACCTGCACATAGTTGACAGTCTGGTTATACCCACAGGTAGCCATTGCCCACCACACAGACCAGTAGAGCAGCTGTCTAGAGGAATAGCAGTGGCGGAAATCCCTCCACAGCTGGAGGAGGACTTGGCCGCAACTCTGCGTAATGATAGATTCAAGCTTCTCAGCATCAGGCTCTCCTTCTCCACTCTCCATTTCACCTCCTCCATCTTCCAGTGATGCATTTATTGCGTTTGACTGTTCTGCTGCAGTCTGTCTCCCACGTCTTTGATGAAAGAACATGCTCTTCTGTGGCATTGGCAAGAAGAAGGAAGTGAGGAGAGCGATGGCAGTGAGAACCAGAGTGAACACCAGGATGTTGTTGTATGACATGAGGTCGAAGCTGACAAGCAGCTGACCCAACACGGAGCCCACTGTATACCCCAGGAGCTGGACACTGCGGCTGTAAGAGGTGGCCTTTCGGTATCTCTTCAAATCTATTACACTGTAATAAAGAGCATATTCAAAATGTCAAGTCTCCCATGAGCAATGCTAAAAATCCAAATCTGTGAGATGTACTACATGACCTGTAAATGTAGGAGAAGTAGGCCACGTCGCTGGCTGTCGCGACTCCGTAAAAGAACTGCGTAGCCTGCATGGCTGGCACACTTGCTGTCCACAGCAGCAGTGCTTTGGTGATGAAGATCATAACACATTGAAACACCACTACAGGCATGTAACGCAGCCAGTCAGTGAGAAGGAACACCGGCACTAGCACGGACAGATAGGAGTATGTCCACACTGGGAAAATTTGATTGTTGACCTGTCAGGGAAAAACTCATCAAAGGCAGGAAATGCATGACTTTATAGCAAATGATTAAAGGTTTCAGAATCTTGATTGGATTTTTATCACTTAGATTTTTTATTTTTATTTTTTTAAAGATGCCGGTTATCTCTCTGCTATGAATCACCAGCTTGTGTGTGCATGTGTGTGTGATTATTTGTAATTGCAGCATGTACAAAAGAGCAAGTTACTAACTTTTTCCACCATAAGGACCGAAAAACTGAAAATCATTTCTTTTCTAAGTCTGTTTTGATTGAATTACACTATAGCCTTTCTAGCATATGTCATATATACCTGCTCAGTTGTCAGATTCTTATCCGGTCCTGTCAAATATGGGATGAGAAAAGGCTCCAGTGGTTTAACTGTGCTGAGGAATCCATAAATGCAAAGCAGAATAGTGGGATACTTCCAGTCTGATCTCCACTTCTTCACTGCCTCCATGTTGGCTTTCCTGTTTCATGTGTGAGTGTGTGATGGGGGAAAAATACCTCACAACTCTCTAGGCATTTTGTTAATCAGCAACCTGGTCAAAGAGCAACACAATCTTGGTGACACTCGAGCACAAGCTGAGATAAAACTTTGATAAATTAAACAGGTAAGCGCCCAAAACTCTGGACTTTAATACCAATCAGAAGTAACTGTTTTATTGTGTTGTTTGTCTTCCTGTCTGGGTTGCAGATAGCAAAAATACACAACACATAAATGTTTGCTTTTCAGTGTATAAACGTTTAATGTTACAGTTTGTAGTGTTTAAGAAAAGCATATTTACAAGCTCTCGTTAGTTAATTTGCAGCTGTGTAAGGTAAATTAGTTCCAATCTTCCAAAAACCTGTCGGGCACTGACACAGGTCAGAGACGCTCTGCAGCAATCACCTCCTCCACACACTCAGGTTCCTTGGCTTCCGTGTGCCGGGGACAGGGTTTGTTCACACAGGCGGTGTAGGTTCCTCGGATCAAAAAGAGCAGCGATATGACAGCATAGTAGCTGCCGTAGATGATAAACTGCAGAGCAGAGAGACGACACATAATCCTAAGCATTATTAGAATTATTTTATCTATGCTATGGCAGTGAACCACCTGCATCAAATAGACCTGCGTGCAACAGCTAATGATAACCACCAGGTGTCACTCTGTCCTCACATTTCAGTGCTTCAGTTAAGCAGCAGAACGCTGAAGGGGCCATCGGGTTCTTGACTTTGAGTTGTTGTTAAATCCCCGTGTGCTGCCATTCTAATACGCAGTAGTATAATTACAGCCTGTACAGGTACCTGCGTCACGATGTCCAGCCCCAGTGCAGCTTCATCAACAACTGTGACTGTAATGATGGTCTGTAGTGAGAGGGCTACAAAAGTGTTGATCCCAAAAGTCAGAGCATAGCACTCCATGGAGAGGTTAGAGGCGATCTGAAACCTGCGGTGACAAAGTCCTTATAATTATGAGAGATTCAGCACATACTCTAAGACTGCAATAGATTTGTATGGCACTGCAACCAGTAAGCTGACTCTATACTAATATTGTCATCCTTTCCTCTGTATTGAACTGACAAAACAGTCAGTTTGAATGAATTCTTTAAGTTGTTCTTGTCACTTTTAAAACACATTTAGAGGAGCAATTGGAGAAATTCTATCATGCACTTACGTTGTGATGGTGATGAGGAGCATGTAACAGGATTTAAATATGGCATAACCGACGTAGCATACCCAGATGCTGCTCGTGAATGCCATCAGAAACACAGCACCTGACCCTACAGCTGAGAACATCCCCAAAGCCAGCTCTCCCCACACAACCCAGGTCAGCTTGATGTAGCCCACAGAGAAGGCTGCTGCAGCACCTGGCCCATGAAGAAGAAAAATAAAGCAATTAGTCTGACATCCCAGCGGACGGCGCCTCCACTGCACATTTGCATCCTTCCCATTGTCATTCCCTGATTCGTCCATTACTTCTAACCTCCCTTTAACGGGAGAATAAAGGCTGCGGTGGCCTCATGCACACTCATGCATTTCCTGGCCTCCACAACGCTTGCTTATTATGATGAACCAGTTTCACCCAACTCCTGGAAACAACTATCAGTAATAATCAAAGAATCCATTACCTTTTAACTCTGTCTCCTTAATAGAAGCAATTACTCTTCTTCTTCTCGCACTGAGGCGGGCCGAGCTTAAACCAAAAGGACCAGGGTGCTGCTATTCCCGTTCAAAATCAATACACATTGTCTGTGTAATCAGTTACCACAGATATGGCACAGCTGATTCCCTTTAATTGCAGGTTTTTATAGATCTATGTGCATTCAGCAATGGCAGCCTGTAATGACATTGTTAAATGTCATTTTGCTACATGATGTGGTTTTGCTGCAGTCTTCTCGCCTTTTCTAATTGAAGCAGAGACAGAGAACTCTGATTAGAGTCCTGCTTCCAGCTCACTGCAGTACAAATGAATGGACCCCCTCTTACATCATTCTTCTTCTACTCTGATATAAAAATAAGTTGAAAAGTAAAGTTATCTCAATTTATCTCATATGTCATTTATTAAGAGCATATATATTATATATATATAATATATCTGACTGATGTAGACACATTCACGCTGTTACAGTCGTTTGACTGGAACATCTTGTAATTATTATTTTTAATCTAAAATAACCCGCTCTAACACCAATCTTACCTACAAGAGAGCACGCAGCCTCCACTCCTCCGTTGTAGATGGATGACGTGGCAGATGGCTCTATATGGTCCCACATAAGCTGGATGTAGTTGAAGACCTGCACGTAGCCAGCTGTGGCCAGAGCCCACCACAGGGACCAGTAGATTAAATGTCTGAATGGTGATAATTATGACAAGAGATTATGATGATGACTGTACAGCTACTTCTACTATTTAAAAGAAGTACCCTATGAATACATTATAAAAATTTGGACCAATTAGTAGTAATCCCAGGTGTTAATTAAATGCAAGTGGGCACTCAAAGCATCTTAGTGATTTAAAAAAAATATTGAAAGAAAAGAAATGCCTGGAAGAGTAGGACTCCCTGAAGCTTTGCCAAAGCAGATGAACTGCAGCGGCCACATTTTCTCTGCTGCAGTAGCCAGCACTGCCATTATATTCCATCTTCCCTTTCCCCGAGCCTTCTCCATCCTTATCCGTCACTGACTCCTTCTCTCCCTGTGGCCCCTCTTGCTGGCAGTCTACAGCTGCAGCCTTCTTCCCTTTGAAGAACATGCTTGTCTGGGGCATGGGCAACCAGAATGAGACGAGAAATGCCACACTCACAATTCCCAGGGTAATAGTATTGATATAGAAGTAGTCCAGGCCTGTTGGTTACAATTGATCATTCATTAGTGCTTGTTTAAAGTTCAGTTCATAATTTTCTTTCTTGTCATGCATCAAATGTTATTTTTCATATTATTGTGATCAAATACTACGAGCCCATACCAGCAAGGGAGACAAGCATTTGGCCAAGGGTGGCGCCAAATGTATATCCAGCCAACATTGCACTGCGCAGGTAACCAGTAGCTCTTTGGTAATTCTCTACTGGAATTACACTGTAAATATAGGAAAAGTAGGCAACCTCCGTGGAAGTCACTACAGCATAGTTGACCTGTTGATGGAATAGAGCAGTTGTAAAGAGGCAGTAGATCATGATAAACTCTATTAAATGCATTAACAACGGTATGATTTAAGTTGTGATAACCGGAATAAATACAAAAGCTTTTAAAAGATTTCTTCAAGGGTAAGAAAGCGATCCAAACCTGCCCTGTGTGAAAAAGATTGTGACTAGCTACATTTAACATTAAAAATTGTTTGATGATCCGAAGGATGTAAGTATGCAAAATAGTAAGAAATCAGGAAGTGGGCAAGTATTTTTTTTCACAGCACCTTTCAGTGCTATATATTAATCATTCTTGAAACAACAACAAGAAGTTTTAACTGACCTGAAGGAAAGTCATAGCAGGAAGACCTGGGACAAAGCACAGTAGAATATAGTTGGTGATGAGAAAGAACCCCTGTACTATAATAAGGGGTTTGTACCTCAGGAAGTCAGTCAGGAGGAAGACGGGGAAAAGAAAGGCCAGGTAGGAATACGTCCAGATAGGAAACAGGTAGTTGGTCAGCTGTAGGAAACCACAAGCACCACAAAACAGTACTGATGATCCCATTTGTACTTCTTTTTCATGACATGCACTGCTTATGAAAACTGATGCATGTTTATTTGTTTTGTTTTGCTTTCATATAAGTGCTGAATGTGAAACTGCAGAACAGATTTGCTCCACTATCAAAGGACCTTGGATCTATATCGGACAACCATCCATCTAAAAGCAGCGAAGTAAGGTCTGAAAATCTGTTGAAAAGTAAAAGGCCACAGGGAAAGCTAAAGGCT